CAGTCCAACATTAACACAATACTGGGCCTAACACCTCATTAATCCGCAGATAATCAGTTAAGACCAATACCTAAAATTTATCTCTTACTTTCTTATTTATAAATTGTACTTCTCCATTTTTTTTTGGCAAAAGTGAATTTTTGGTGTTGATGTTGCTGTTGTCAAGACATTCTATTCCATCAAGAATTATTTTAAAGAAGGTTGATAGCAAAATCTCAATATTATAAAATCATCTTACAGTATTAGCATCAATAATTATTCTTCACTTCATTGGATGATTTGAATGGTTCAATGACTGATTGATTGACAGATTAAGAAACACCATCACCAGCCTAACATGTATACTAACCCTTGCTGTGGCATCTCTACCACAAGATACCAAAACATCGATAGATGGATGCATATCTAATGCATGTACAGCACTTAGATGACCATGGTAATGTCTAATAACCTAAGCAACGAGAAAATACATAAATTATACAATATATTATATGTGTAGAGCTAGTCATCAATTATACAATAAATTGGTACAAGAGCATGACTAATTTCRCTGACAAAGGCAAGCTAAGGATGAACAATAACATTTAATATAATAAAACAACACAGCCTTGGTTTTGATAGTGTAGTCTTTGACATGGTCTCTAAACGTTCTTTATATATCACTGATTTCAACCCATCCTTTATTGCTTGACAGCCTTATGTTCATATTCATTTATAATAACATACAATGGCCTCTTGGACAAAGTGGGTAATTGCAGCATTGCCATTTTTAACTATAATAACTTTTCACCTTTGAGGTATGAGATTACAGCATCATGATTAAATATAAAAATTAATATACATTTAAGAGCAAGACTAAATGATGCATATTGATCGTTTTCAATCATTCCCATGAGATTCAAAAGATAAAAGACCGGCGGCCATGTTGGAGGAATGAAGAATAGATACTAATGAGAAATCTTTTGTTGAAGTTCATCCAAGATGGCCGCTGTGACGTATGGTGAAAACGAAGAATTCATGTAAAATTTGTTTTATTTAAATAAATTAAATGCAAATCATAGTGTAGAAACTAAAGTCATGGAAATCATGGAATTCAATCAAATTTAGAGGGCGACGTTTCTAATACACAAAGTCAGTGCAAAACRGCAGTGCTTCCTCAGTACACATGACATACCTTATTATATTCTAAATCCCAGCATTTTACTTGTTTATCTTCACCACAGGAGAATAGGTAAGGGTGTCTAGGACTGACYACTAATCCACGGACAGTACTGATRTGACCAGTTAGTGATAGCTTTAACTTGCCACTTCCAAGTTCCCAAATCTTACAAAYGTCAAAATTGTTAATTTATCAAAAGAATAACCTCGTGAATAGTACAATATACACATTCAATGATATGGTCATCACAATGAACGGATGGTAAATAATGATGCTCATGCAAACTAATAATTTTTTTACTGTTTTTTAAATTTTTTACTATATACCCTGCGAGCAGAGGAATTTTCCACCCCCTTCTACGAAGATAGGGGAAAAATTCCTCTGCTCGCAGGGTACATACTATATAATGTTCAATATTGAATAATAAAAGCTTGTAAAYAGATAAGTTGAATTGGGAGACATTCTTGATGTTGAGCAACAATCCAGTCACAAATGTCTTTTCTTCATTGTTTTTCTTTCTTTTTTTAAAATCACAATAGGGTTTTAATATGAAGAAAGAACAACACAGTTTTGATGGTAAGGCAGTATGAATAAAATTTCAAAACTGCAGTATTCAATTTAATAATAATAATAAAAATAATAATAAACATGATAAAAATAAAATAATAATAAAAAATAATAATAATAGTGATTGATAAGAGATACATAATAGTCTTGATAGATGCATTTTTATACATGTACATGCCATTTCTTAGAAAGAAATATATAGAATTTTACTGCATTATTCATATATAATTATCAATCTTGTATCAGAGAAAACAAATGGYAATATTGTCAACATCACAACACCAATAACCTTCTCTGATTGATTCACTATAGCACAGCATATACGAGAACACATAGATAAGACTAGGTATACTCCTGCCTACTGTGCWTCACTACAACAAAATATTAACAAAATACTGCTACTACTAATAGAGTACAAACACTAAAACTGTGCAACATAAATACCACTAAATTATGCTAATTAGATATTGTTTTCTATTGTTTAATTAACACTATTTTGTACTAAATAGTGGAAAGTATTGCACAAGTAATCGCACTTAATCCGTGCAACTGTACAAACTAAATAGTTCTATTTAGTTGTATTTAGTAAATCGTGCATGCGGTACGCAAATTAAATTGAATTGATATAAATGAAGCATTCAATACTGTCTCACTTCAGGTCCACTTTTAGTACAAATTAGTACTACTTTAATTTTGTACAGTTGCACGCTTTAAGTGCGATCACTCACACATTTAATGTTTGTACTCTAAAACAAAATAGTATTAAATTTGCACTAATTGTGCAACTGAGCCAGAAAATCCTTTGAATGACCATGATTCCACATGTACATGTATGTGAGCAAAACTTACTAAAAAGCACAAAATTGTTCAATCAACTTATGAATCAAAATAATATGTTCACTCTAATAGAAGTTGAAGCTTWAATWAAACAAATCACCAAAACTTGCATGTTTTGCCTGAATATGGCTGTGCTRGTTGTACAAAGGGTGAATAGCCATATCCACTGGATAATTCATCCAAAAAATCTATGAAGTAGACAACTGGCTATGATGTTTTTTTATTAAGATCTGCTGTGGTAATTATCTAGATTTCAAAAAAGCTGTGAAACAAAGACAAAGTGCAATAATACACTGAAAATTGCCCACATAATACTCACTTTAATTGTTCTGTCTGCTGATCCTGTAGCAAACCATTGATTCCCTGGTTCCACTGATACAGACCTCACCCAGCCAGTATGACCACTGATYACCTATCAAAAATTACATGTTCTATGATTGGGTGAGGCTAGTAATATAATATTTGCTGTCATTGGGTTATGCACTTAATATAACTTGTACTGCGATTGGCTGTGGATAGTAATATTGTAATTTGTACTGTGATTGGCTGAGGCTATTTATATAACGAGTGCCAAGATTGGCAGAGGCTAGAAATAACGTATTCTCACAGTGAAGGCCTGTTACACAGCCAATAACCTTTCTAGTTTTGACTTGCTACATTATTTTAAATTTGAAAAAAACACCAAGGAATATACTTAAAGTTGTACAAATGGTGGATAAAGTTTGATTTACACTGAGGATTTGAACTACCRGAACATCAGATAGCACTGACGAATAAAACACCAGTGTTCATAGTTCACTAACCCTCATTAGTTTCCATGGGGCATGCCACTGTGGTCTAGGCAATAGAGGTGCTTTGCGTTGATGCATTATTGCAGTAGATGGTTGCTGTTTGGTACCACCACCTTCGCCTACAGCTACYAAAGCCTTTGATTTACTGCCAGGTGGATTGGTAGAGGCTCGAGGGTTGGGTAAAATGGTTGCTAGTTCTGTTGATCTATTATCAGTATGGGGCTTGTTMTGTTCTGGTTTATCTTTTGTTTGTACAAGGTCTTTGACAGATGCATATTCATCGTGAACTTTACAGGCAATCTTGATTTTTTCACTGTTAAAAAAGGAATTCAAAAAGTCATATTATACTAAAGGAAATCAAGGTTGCCTCAAGTAACATATATACATAGACGCTATCGACACAAGTGATAATTGGTCTTGGATGCAGTTTCTGACAGTGCTCCTATTAAAAATTGCCAGAAATGTCCCAATAATAATCGATAGCAGTCTATAGTTTTGGAAAGTTTCCGTTTGATAGTCCCAGTAAACATTTTGGCGATTATTAAATGGACACTACAGTTAAGAAAATCAAATTAACGATCAATGAAGGAATCTAGCTTAGAACTGATTGTGTTAGTTGAAGTTTACAAACATTTCTTGTGAAGCTTTTTAGTCTTAAAAAATCCATCAGCCATCGCCTTTACAATATCAAAGATTGTATCTCATTGTTTTGATGTGTTTCCTTTAAAATTACTTTGATAATCACATCAAATACCACTGTTATATCGTACTTACCCWGCCTCGTCTTTGGACAGTGGTAACGCGTGGTCATGTAAGAAGAAATCGTGTGTTCGTTTTAGAGAACGAAACACCAACGTATGTACGGAATGTTTCACTATATCCTGAAAATAAATAGAGTAGAATCATTAAGTATGATGTACAGTAAATATTAACAACGTTTTGACGACGTTTCAAGCAACAAAACAAGTGAGACGGAATTTACTCACTTCGGTAGCCATCTTGGATTTATGTGTCTATGGCGCATGTCCAGGGCGCAAAGGGCCTTTTGGGAAATTTTCCCGCCATTTCTCCATCYCGATCAAACCAAAACAAATTTCTAAATTTCAGGCACAATTTTCTCGTTATTTTATACAAGATCTATACTTCCAGAGAAAGGAAAGCTTGATCTTCTGCCTAGTAAGTCATGGATGAGAAAGAAGTCAAAAGATTCTTATTCAAAGTCTTTGCGCAAAGCAATGAAGCGGGGTAAGATTAATAAGCTTAAATCAAGCTTTCCTACTGTATTCTTAATACTTATTAAGCATACCTAAAGTTTCCCTAAAGTTTGATTATCCCTCTCTCATATCAATGGCTATTGAAAGCTTTTTGTATTGTATGATTTCATAGTTTCCAACATAAATTGAATTCGCTACGTGGAAATTTTCTTTTGTCTTTCAATGATTCCTTTCCCATTTGCTGCAATGTTTTCAGCATCTGAGCGTTGTAACTTACTTAAGCTTATTTATCTTTTGAATATTCCGACCTCAAAGTACTCTGAGTATTCCCATTTCCAGATAGAGTTACCAAGGTCGAAGTCTTCATGTCTTTTAAAAACGCATATTTATGTATTTTGATCATAGAAGTCATTCAGTCAAATCATTGTGGAAAATGTACTTGGAGCACCAGGAAACAGACAGCCTTGAACCTGAACTCTACAAAAAGTTTAAGCTCATTGCTCATGATGTATTCCTTGYGTACTCAAAACAGCAAGAAGAACAAGAAAGCTCCAGCCAAGGTACAAGACAAATTATGATATTGACAATAAATATTAACATTGAATTATTGGATAAAGCTTACTAATGATATAAAAAATGGATCATTGATGCACATGGTTTTTCTTTTTCAATTATGAATGAAAGCAGTGTTAACTTTACTGATGCATCACTTACATGTAATGCTTGTAAGTGGCAATAATGAAAGACTGCTGCATGGAGACTACACAAGACAATATAGGCATTACTATATACAACCCATACATGTACCTGTATAAAATTGTAATTTTAACAATGATAATTATTGCTCTTCATGTACCCCAARCAAAATGCAGTCCTCATTWTCACAAACACASCTGATTTTCTTTGCTATACTTGTGTAGACAGTTCTTCATCAACTTCAAAGGTGTCCTCTGCAGTGTCATCTCCTGCTAAGTCCCCTAGACGGCCAACACTAAGMTCACCAAAAAAGACATCAACAAGGAGCCCTGYGCTAAAAAGTAAAAGTCAGAAACATGAAGATAGTGACATATCAGAAAAGGTGAACAAGCAGTTAAAGRAGAAGGTTAAAAATGTAGTATCTTCTGATGATGAAGAGCAGACAGATGAAAAYCCTAGAAAACAGAACAAGAGACAGAAAACAACATCATCTTCAAGTGAAGAGAGAATTGTCAAACRGAAAAGGAAGMCATTGATTAAAAAAGATGTTGTATCAGATGAGGAGGAGGAGCAAAGCAAAAAGAAAYTTTCAAGACAGARCAAGAGTCATAAARCRAGACTTTCTTCAGATAATGAGGACAATACTGAACAACAWGAAACTAGCAATAAGATTCAGAGAAACAAACCAAAGACAAGCATAGAGATATCATCAGACGACGGCAGTGATGTCCAGRAAGAAAAACCATCCAAACAAAAGTTGGATGATGTTGATTCATCAAGTGAAGAAGAACAGCCAAAATTCTATGACAGAAAGAAGAAAGGCATGGAAAAGTCATCAGATGARAAAGAGAATTCGAAACAAATATCACCTGTGAAACCATCTGGTGGTAATGTAGAGATAACCTCCGATGATTCAAAAGAAAATGACTCTATAAAAACCAAAGTCAATAAGAAAACATTAAAGAAAGAATTCAAAAGAAAAGATTCATCATCATCATCAAGTGATGAAGATGTTTATGATTCTAATCAGAAAACTCAAAATGACGATGATGATGATGATAGTAGTGTAAAWAATCAAGCTGATTCAGACAATGATGAGMCTAAACACAGTGGCAAAAAGKTTGACATATCCTCAGAATCAGACTCAGATGAAGAAAGAGAAAAACCCAAAAAGAAAAAAGCACTGTCTGAATCAGACATAGATGAAAAAGACAAGAAATCAGCTAAAACAAAGACCAAAAAAGTAAAGAGGAAAAAAGGAGATAAGGTATGAGAAAGTTTAAAATTATTCATGGTTGATTAAACAAACTGCGTATGAATATGAGAAAGTTGTCTTTGATTGATTGTTTTAGAAGCGTGGTTAGTCCCTTGTTTATGGTTGTAGCATGGATCTAAATGCAAAGGGAAAGAACATATTCAGTAATCAATATACATATTAATTCTATATTATTTAAACTGTGTACATGTATTTTATATAAATAATATACAGAAAATTGAGTTAAGCTTGAGAAATCTTGTTTCTTTTAACTGGCTGTTTTTCCACCTAAATGAGAATTTGTTCATTTTCTTGAGTCAGTGTTCTTGAAAGTAAGTTTTAATAAATATTAAAGCATCGACCAATAAGCATTGCACTCTTTGGGATAAAGAATTTCAATGCCAAATGAACAATAGAGTGAAATAATTCTTTTTTTATTTGCTTTCATGGATATTCAATATTACCCCATTGCACATTATTGAGTGATGCTGTTAAACTATGGAATGGCAAATGAGAAACAAAAATATCAAAAACAAATAATGACTTTACATGTATAAATGACTTTCAGGACAGGAAACCCAGCGAAGACAGTGTTAAGCTGAAAAACCTCAAAAAGTATGCACATGCCTGTAAAATAAGAAAGAATTACAATAAACTATTTGCTGATTGTGGAAGTATGAGTGCAAAGGAAAGACTGCTTGAAAAAGTGATTCGAAATAACACAGGAATTGAAGGTATKGATCATGCAATTGAATATGGACATGTTTTTAAATTCTGGAATGTTTCAGCGTTATGAAATGCTCTGAATACATTTTAAGTAAGGGTTCTTTCATTATTTCCACAGGGGGGGGGGGGTGGGATTGCTGGGGGGGGGGACTGATCTGTTTTGTCTCCTAAAGTTACAGTAAATATAGGGGAGTATGAAGTGTCACCTTGAAGTATGGCATATCCTGATAATTAAAAGCCCCCTAAAAGAGCACTATGAATATTTTGATATTCATAGTGAATTTAACATTAAAACTGAAATTAAAATTAAAATGCCTAATCTTCAATAGAAGGTTGAACTTGAGAAGTGATAGGTGAACAGTGGGTAGAACCTCAATAGTTCGATCTCATGACAAATGAATGATTTTCAGTTACTATTCATTTCTTTTGGTTCCCAATTCAAAAATCTTCATTCCTTTATTTAGGATTCCCGTTTTGTAGGTGTAGAGAAGAGGCATTGGGTGGGAAAAAGAAGGGGAAAATTTCGAGGAAAGGGAGAGAGAAGGAAGTAGGAGAAAGGGAAATAGAATGGGATGTTGACCCCTGTTATTTTTAAACTTTATTTATAACAGGAAGAATAACTCTGGAAAAATGTAAAGAGTTTTTAATAAAAAAAGAAGAAGCTGATGAAGTGGCAGAACTTGATACTTCAAACATCATTTCACAAGGTATGAATTCTTCTTTCATTTCTTTGTTTTCATTTCACAAGGTATGAATTCTTCTTTCATTTCTTTGTTATGAACCAAAGGATAGAAATGCTTAATTCTTGAATAAAATTGCTAGCATTACGTTTTCAAAAGCGTCCTCTCACAACCGTTATTTGGGTTGTTCCCATGTGAGGAGAGACGAGGGAATGGGCCTAGCTATGGTCTCTTGAAGAGGATTGGGGCAGAGCGACACGTGTTGCTTCGCCCCAATCCTCTTTGAGATACAAGTAGCCTAATACTCAGGCAAGAATGAGCAGGCAACATCTTCAAAACGCGTTGAAACTTGCGATATTTCAATACATAGAGCATTATATGTGCAAGCTTCTGCTAATAATACGGTGTATTTATAATTTCAAACATACAAAACCTCGTAAGGAATGCTGGTTAATCATGGGCCTAATGTCCTACTCTGTCTGAGGGATCCAACACTTTCAGTGTCTTATCGATGACAGTCCATCAAACAGTATTCAGTTCATTTGTTCTCTTCTTTGGGATGTTTGGTAAACTGATATCAATATTTGATGATCTAACATTGCTGGGTCGTTCAACCAGAGTTAGAGCTAAGATTTCTCGTTAGGCCGAGGCTAAAGTATTACGTTTTCTTTGCGCAAGACATCCAGGCTCATCATCGCATTCCCAGAAACCATTTCGCCTTTCATAATGTTCACTTATTAATTCGGGAGAATCTACGTAGCACTCAGCAGAAGTACATAACCATGTATGTTATGTACTTCTGCACTCAGTTGATGTAATATATTCATAAAGATATAATACAAAACACATAATACAATAGAACGAGAAACAATGGAATACAATACATTTTATGAACATTATATCAACTGCGTGCTACGTAGGTCACCCCTTATTAATTCATTCCTCTTTTAAAAGGGCGGGGTCGCACACGACGCGCATGCGCACAACCTGTGGCTGTAACTCCAGTTACCATTCCCTCTCCGCGCTCTTATCGAGCAAAAGTGTTTGGAAACTTAAAAGGAATCGTAGACAGCGAAGAAAGCGAGGATAATAACTCCCCTAAAAAAGCCAAAAGGATCATATCATTGGACATTGACTCAGGCGAAGAGAACAACAATGTTAATGATCAAAGAAATCAAAAGACAGCAAAGAAAAGGAARCACGATGGAGAAGACATCCGATATACCAAGAAAAAACGGATGTTCGTTGACCGGAGTGATGAAGAAGAAGAATCTGATGATGTTGACGGCGTTRATGAGGAAGTTGAAAGTGACAAAAATACTTCTAATGGACGAAAATCAGTCATGACAATTGARAGCTCTGATGAAGACTAGATGGTGAACATGTTAATGATCAATTTAGTGGGTTTTAAAACGCGGAAAGAGGCAGAAATGATGACAAGGAAGGTGTTAACGAGGAAGTAACAGTGAAAATTGTTGTTCGGATTGAAGTTTGTTTCAGTGGAAACGTGAAAGGAAGGACTRATWAGTGTTGAATCKKAYRTAGTTTGACATGCAACTACATGGTTATGTAACTTTCCTTYCTCGATGATAAACAAACTAAACGCAACCTAAACTAACTTTCACCGGCATATGCTTTTAGTTTGACGTTACACGGAGAAAAGTCTTAAAGAATGTAGTTTAAGAATTGTTTTGTCTGTTCGTACGATACAAAAAACATGCAAACTACTGAAAAAGAAACGTGGCTTCGCAAGAAGAAAAACGCATTTTATGTAAAGCTTTATGGAAAAATCATCTAGGAGTATTTTAGATGTAATAGTTTAAATATATTTTAAATTAGAAAAACGTGAAACTTTGTTTTGGCAAATAAACTTTTATTGATTCATTCCGTGATGATGATCTGCGTGTTTAGATTCAAAGTAAAACGCCGTGCAGGGAATCATGCGAGATACAGTGCTTCACAAATGTACGGTTTTTCAAAGACCTCGTTCTGGTATTGAAATTATATRTCGGAAAGGTCTGATAAAATAATGCCTTCTCGTTGAGTCTCACCAGCCTTATTCCGATAGATATAACCTACCCTGCGAACAGAGCGTTATTTAACTTACCTCAATAAAAAATTCGCGAATTTTTTACTGAGGTGACGTAAATAACAATCTGTTCGCAGGGTAGGTATAACCATGTTTTCTCCGACTGTTCTGGAAATCTCTTGGCTTCACCGATTCCGGTGACGTTATTCAAGCAGAGTATAACTTGTCATTCTAAGTGACTTAGCTGCCACCGCTGTTTTAATTTCCGTAAAATATCGTTGTAGCTAAATAATGACATAGAGTTAATTCGCAGGTGGACTTGAATAGCTGTTTTCACCGCGCGCTAATAAACAACCTGAATAGAAATTATCGTGGATTTTTATTTAGAATTAAGGCACTTTACAAGCTATGGACCTTATTTTACAAAATATTTCATTGATTGATATTCCTTTTTTGGGGGGTCGTGACTGGATGATCAATTCCCTGTGGAAAATAGAAAGTCATTTTAGAAGAATTGATAACAAGTGTCGACAAGAAAGTGTGAAGACTAGAAATTAGCTGTTTGTTTTTCTATGAAATTTCTATTATCCTCTTTTCCTTCTTCCTTCGCCCTTGTTCCTTCGCCCTTGTCAGGGATGACATTGCCGAATCCCTCGCAAGCGCCGCAGTGCCGAAATTCAGGTCAGGGGTCGAGAAGGTGCGGTTTGGCTACGCGCGCCGTATTGGAACACATTTTTCTACAGTCCAGTCAGTGATATATGTAAACGTATGATGTTGTTGATGGTAGAGAGTGACAGGAAGATCCAGGAAATAAAACTCTAGTGCGATCTCAAGTGCAACTGTCTACAATCGCGACAAGACTATAGTAGCGTCGTTTTTTTCTTCAGAATCCCATTGTACTTTGAATAAAAAAGTTTTTGCCTGCGAAATTTTCAAAATACAGATTTTGTACCGTGGCATGAACTTGAAGGGACTCGCGTACCAACCGTGAAGGATAAAAATTCCCTTCATCGATTCAAAATGTTTGCCTATTTGAAAATGTTTATTCGTCATTTAATATTGAATAATTACTTCATTTCGTGTCTCGTTCAATTCTGAATGACTCACGTAATACAGAACAAACCTTACCTAGTAATAATTCTCGTAAAATTCAAATGGTACTCGAATTCTTCCTGCGGGACGCTGTTGTACTTTTGACCGAAAGCCTTCACGTTGATTCCGCGGCTGCTCCGACTTCACCGGTCGTCGAGCCGGTGTCCTTCCAGATTTTCGCAGTCTTCGGCCTTTGGTTAAGATTTGAACGAATGATTGCGATTCATGGAGCATGGTTAAGACTAGAACTAAAACTAAAAAGATCCCCAATATTCTTGAATACATCTTGTTGTTGATCTAAGAGTGATTGTAGTTTTATCCTGACTGTGAAATTGTCGTGCTGTAAAAATGGCCTTTATACCATTTGTGATGGCCCTCCCACACTCTTTTGATGCCGGCCGGAAGAGAGTTGAACAAGCGTAGTTACAGAATTGTTTTTGTTAATCCTTACAATTAAACACTTGGATCAATAAGTTGATGACAAAAGCCATTGCTTTTTCTATCTCGCTCCAGTATTTTCCATTTCTCTTCGCTCGCTGCTGGAAGCATAMTCTGAGTCCTTTGTCCGATAAATGTYTGTGTCAACAATATTGTAGACATAGCGTTATATTTTATAATCCCGATAAAAACTGTTATAGATCTATCTAAAAGATATAAAACCAATTTACACAAATGTCATTCGAAGTAGCTAAAAAAACAGTATTTAACAAGAAATTAACTTTAAAGGCGACTTAAAGTCTAAGACTTCATAATTAAGAAGATCAACTTTTTCGGCTTTTTTTACAAGGAAATGAGGCATAAAGCGCGGTGGTTTTGCTGTAAGTACGCTTGTCAAACCGAATAGAAACAAGCAGAAATGTTAATTTGGAAGTTAATTGATGGGTTAATTAAAAAGAAAATCGGGAAAATATCCTTGTTATTAAACGTTTACAGTTTGAGAAATGTTTTTTTTCGCCTTCGTCGGTTTTAATATCTACGTAAGCGATTTTCAACTTCTCAAACACCTGTGTGCATGGAAGCAATCAGGTACTAAGTATATACCTATTCTGCAGCATCACTATATTTTACATAAGTATTAARATAAACATTTTAAATAACTACAGGAGAGAAGAAACTGCGAACCTGCTGAAGGAAAATCTTCTTTTCTAGGGAGAAAGCATCAAACAAACTCATAACGTGTCAAATGCCTGTACGAGGGGCAAATCGTTACGCAGCCCACACAAGTAATTCACAGACTAGAGTTTCCCGCTTCATTCCCTATATAAAACGGTCGCAGGTTTACATTACGGACACTAAATCACACAATCTGCACATCTAGATCTTATTAGAGTCTAAGCCCAAAATAGCAGGCATAAAAGATTATTTCATGAGCTAGTACGTCGTATTATGATCATAAGAAAAGAACAACCTATGAACGATAAACGGCCTGACTTCCGATCAGCTTCCATTCAAAGTCCCATTAGCGGAATAAACTGGTGTCATTGAGTTTTGATGTTGAAATTGCCTTGTCAAAACTGCGGCACGTTCCTTTGTARTCAATAAATGAAAACGGCTATCCATTTTGTGTTTACACGGTTCCATTCACACGAAAACTACTTGTAAAGGTAAACTCGTGATTCATCGTTATAACGAGCTTCAAATTTTGACAACGATTTCCAAATTTGGGATTTAAAAAAATCTGCATTGCTTGTGCTCCCAGTATTGATTTGTGGTTCTGCATATAGAGGTCACAGGGAGTATCTTRGAAAATATTAGGGTTCCTATTCGCTGACCACGCCGAAGAAGTTGCTAACTCAATTTTCTTACTCGTACTCTACGAGTAATAGTCTATAGAAAAGTTTCGATGTGGCATGCTCTTGCTTTAGTTCGTTATACCTATAAAACGGACATTTCCACACAACAATCGAAAGGCACGGAGCCTATATGAATTGAACGAATGAATGACTGAACAAATTTCGAATGAATTATTGAGTTACGTTGAGTGGATAATGAATGATTGACCAAATCAATGAGTGCGAATAGTAAATAATTTTTGGTCGGAACCGAAAGAAATTAGAGGAAAGAAAGAAATTCAGATGCATTAATAACCTAAAGGAAGTATCAAAGTTTCAAAGCAGAGGCTCCTCTGGTTTCAAAGAAAGTTAAACATGTCTTATAAATGAAAATGCTAAGAATAGCGACTCGCTATTCAAATATTATCTTGAACGATTGTAATAAATCGAGTCAACAGACCCTAAAAACGCACGAAACACGTGTTTACAGGAACTGAAATAGCCGAAAACCAGAATTAATATCCTCAGGATAAGTGCGTGGGGTAATTTTGGATTTCCTACCAACATGRCCAAAGCATCGTGATTTTTTTGCGGGAAATAAGGTAGTGTAAAAACAACGTCGTGCGATTAAACCTTTTTTAACTCTGCTCACAGACGAATAAGAAAAACGTTTCCTTATGAATTCGGAAGTAATGTTTATTATATACTCTGTCAGAAATCATACAAGGATTAGATACTGAAAACTATTTCAAAAATGTTTTTTATTATACATACGTAATGATTTTCATGAAGACTGGTTTTTGATACACAAACCAACAAAGAGATGCTTTGACTATCACTGGAAAAAATCGCGCGCTTTAAAGGCTGTAAATTTAATGTAAATATGATGTAAGTGTCCAAAATTCTGTAAATTTCATGGAAATCATTTACATCAAATTTACAGAATTTTGGACATTTACATGATATGTACATCAAATTTACAACATTTAAAGCGCGCGATTTTTTCCAGTGTATGTAGGGGTTAAGAGTCATCATAAGAAAAGTTTGTAGCGTGATCTGATTCCATCAATGCATATTCCATTTGCTGTCTGTAGAAATCGTCAAATTGACAAATTGTTCTCCCTTAGATAAGTCGAAGTTTACAATACGTGTAATTAAAATATCATCAAACTTAAAAAAAGCAAAATTAATTATTGTATTTGTGAAAATTAATAACTTCRGAATCCTTTGAATGTGGACGTTCATTTCGCTGTCAATAAAAACTGGTGATGTAATTCAAAGGCGGATACCCCCTGTCCAATTCTTCATCAATAAGMATATTTCTGATAGAAGACTTAAGTTCAATATTCACTTAAATATCAACCACTGTCCCCTGTTTGCAAACTTCATGTGAGTAGTATGAGATGGGTTCGGAAGCATGAAAATCGTAAAAGAGCCAATGAGGAAGCAGGGTGGCTTTTGGCTGTCAATATTGTTATGGCAACGGGGTGCGGGGTGGCCAACGGGCGTCGGACCATGTTTTAGTGTTGATGTCGAAAGAGTACACAGGGTCGAGGGTCAGGAACGTTTGCTTGATTGGGATTCCTCTGGTAAAATACCCACGGAGTTGATCCGATTCCAACCAAATTTCACTCTGGGACCCTCTCTTTAGAAAAAACCTGGATACGTATAATATTTCGATGTGAAAAACTGCGCAGAATAGCGCTAAATCAGTTCGAGCAGTCATACTGAGGGAGAAAAGAAGAAGTTCACATGAATTGCTCAAAAACAAGGCTCTGACACTYGCATTTCGGAGAATTTCGCGAAATATACWTGACCACTTTAATGACCACCAAGTCTGGTATTTSTATGTTATTTGTTATTATCGGTTTTTAACCGTTGTTTGCAGTCCTCTACATATAACACTAGAGGAGTATTAAACGGGCAAAGCTGAACATGACCTAACTTTATAGAATGGAATTGCATGATGCGATCTGACTAAAGATGAAAAA